TTCTTCTTTCCTAAACATGTTCAGTGCTTGGGAAATAGGACAGTGTTGAAGCCCAGCATCTTACCCTCTGTTGTGGAACTTGCTTCACGCTTGATTATATCCTTTTTTTTTTTCTCAGAGGCCGCTGCCATTTTACCAGCAGAATGTGTTTTCCCTCATTTCACCCATTAACATGCCAACCAAAGAGTGTGACATCGTCAAATTTATGGTGAAGCCAGGTTAGTAAGCTCCACATGATGAACTCTGTATGAAAAGGAAAATCAGGTTTAAGGTTTTTCTCATGTAAAGACTATTACTGTTTGCAAGTGAAAAATGTCTGCTCCTGTGATCACAGTGAGGGTCTGTCATGGCCTTGTGTCAAGACAAAGACTTCAGCTCAAATTTTTAGGGTATCAAAGGGCTAAGTAAACAAGGGTCATCTTAATTTTTTAAACATACATTTCAAGTTCAACATCTACTTTCCCTTTTTTCTTAGATAACTTGGAGGAATTGAAGGTGTCGAAGCTGCAGGTAATTTCATTTGGTGCTTCAAAGCTGAAATTTTAAATGTAGAGTTTATCTACACCAGTATGTTTAACTCACTGCTTGCAATTCTGTTTTAAGGCACACAAGCAGGCGTTTGAAAAAATGTGGCTCTGTTTTTTGAAGCACAAGGTGAGTGTTACTTCTGCCACTGATCTGCATGGCTGTCTGACTGCTGATGGTTAGAGGCTGTGGCTCTCCCTGCGTGGAGCTCCTGGTGGGATCCCACTCTGCTCTCAGTGTCAGGGGGGAACAGCCCAGTCACTGTTTCTCCTGGATTGTTCTCCTGCCACAAGACATGACCTCACGTATGATCTGTTTCTTCTCTTTACTCTCAGCCTTTTTTTCTCACCTTAAACAAGTCTGCCTGTAAGGAGTGATTTGCAGCATAACAGCCTCTGTTCCCAAGCTGAAGGTCCCCACGCCCTTCTGCTGGTGACTTTCCCCTCTGAGCTGTGGTGACACTTTCAGCTGTGAGCACCTGCCTCTTTGAATTAGCTTTGTTGCTGGGGGTCACTTGGAAACTCTCCCATTCGGGAGCTGTTGCTGCAAGCTGTTCTGTATTGTCCTGGCACATTCCCTTTTGCTTGTGCTTTGCCTTTTTGAGCCGTGGGCTCCTGTTGCTCTCTCAGTTCTTCCTGCAGTGATTGTTTCATTGTATTGTTTTGTCCTTCACAGCTACCCACTGGCCTTTACAAAAAAGTGCTTGTCATTATGCATGACTCCATCCTGCCTTACATGAATGAGCCCACTCTCATGATAGACTTCTTGACAGTGGCCTATGGCATAGGTGAGTGAAAACAGGCTCTTGGGCCTTTGTGAGGCTCTGCAGCACGCTGCATTTGGACTTGGAAGGGCTGCTGAATGCCAACCCCATGGCCTGGCTGGTGAAATAGGTGCACTTGTGCTTGGGACAGAGCTAAGGAACTAGTGTGATCTCTGTTGTCCCTGAAAGTGAGATGTTTTTCCTTGTGTTTGTCAGTGTCGTTGCTCCTTGTATGTAAGGAAGATCATATTTAAGGCTTAGGGAAGAGTAGAATACTGGACTGATTTCTTAGTTCAACCAGCAGTGCTGGTGCCTGGCCTGCATCCGGATGCAGGATGCACAGATTCCTACAGAACTGTCCTTTCTGAGGAAACCTTTGCCTCCCCAGTGTGGCTTCTTGGGGGATTAGAGCAGTGTGTTTGTGTTTCTCACTGCTTCAGAGCTTGTTCCTCTAAACTACAGCTTAATCTTTGTAAGTAATTTATGAGCTTCTGGATGGTTTTAGATGAAGTTGTGTTACCTTACAGCTGTCGTGCTGGGTCTAATTTGAGGTGCTCTTAGTGTTCTGTTCTTCGTGGGAAGGTTTTATAATAGCAACAACTTGAAGCTGGTGTTTTCTTACTGTGTTGATACCTCCCTGCTTTCTTACAGGTGGAGCCATCAGTCTTCTAGCCTTGAATGGGTTATTTATTCTTATACATCAGCATAATCTGTAAGTGAAAAGAGTGTCTTTCTAAAAGGAACTAGTTTTTTTTGCATTTTTATTTTTATAGAAAGGAACTGAAATGGATTCTGCCTGTCTTCAGGCTTTAAGATTTCCCCATGACAAAGCCAAACTCTTCACAAGAGCCTCAGCTGTTGGGATGCTGAGCTCTGATGGCCCAGCCATCAGTTTTTTCAGTGGAGCCTGAATATCTTCTCCAGAGAGGTTGCTCAGCCCTCGAAAATCGATCTCCATTGATCTGGTGGCATAGTGAAACCCTAGTCTTTGGTGTGCCTTTGGCTGGACCCTGTGCTGTTTGCAGGCTGTGGGCTTGGCTTCACATCCTGCACGTGGCTGGGCTCTGGAAGAGCCAAAAATTGACCTTGCAGCTTGTTTTCAAGTGGTGACTGTGGAGAGAAGCCTAAGAGAGCTAAGCAGAGCACAGCAGTGGTCTGGGGTAGTCTGTAGTGACAGCACAGAAATTCAGGCACGGTGTAGTCCCGTTGTACATCATTAATGCTGGTTTCCTAATGTCTTTTTCCTTTTTTTTTTTCCCCAGGGAATATCCTAACTTTTACAAAAAGCTGTACAATCTTTTAGACCCTTCTATATATCACGTGAAGTACCGAGCCCGCTTCTTCCATCTGACTGACCTCTTCTTGTCTTCATCGTAAGTACCATCCTTATGGCTCTTCACATAGTGCTCCTCCTGCTTTTCTGTTGGCCAGAGGCTGCTCTTGAAAGCCCCCCACATGTTTGGATAGAAAGTATTTGGTGTGTCTACCCAATTAGACTCACTTTTGCTGAGAAAACTGGATCCAAGAGTATTACTGTAGTGTCGTATAATTTTTTCATGAGCTGTTTTTGAAGATTTGCCACACAGCCAATCTAGTTCCAGAAAGTAAAAATGCAGTTAGCTATCTGAGTTTGATCTGCAAGTGATTACGGGTGTATTTTGATCTGTGTGCCACTTTGGCTGAAAGTGATGATTTTTCTGTCTGTATGAATATGCAAAAGTAACATTCGCAGGCTTTTTATAGATCATAAAGCTGTTGATAAGTGGATGACCTTTTGCAGACCTATAATGTGGAAACACAAAGTGTCTGACAGTCAGTCTTGGTGCTGTCAGTTCAGTGCATGCAGGGAAGACACTAGATAAACAGCTGGTCCTAGAGTTGGCCATCCTGTGTTATTAAATAAACCAAGAGTAATGCTTTACAGTTCAGCACCAGGCACTTCACATCAGTCCCCTTGTGTTTGTGGTGTACTTTGGAGAGAGTAGCAAGACCTGGCAGCTGAGTGTCCTAAGCAGTGGCTTTGCTGAGCTTCTCAGCTGTAACAAGCCCTAGGGCTGAAGTCTGAGTGGCTGAAAATTGTCATCTTTCATCCCAGCTCTTCTGGCCTGAATAAAGCGCCTACAAGAGCTGATGGCTGTTAGAAATTTGCATTTTTACCATTAAAAAAAGCCAACCCTGTCCTGCAGATTTACATCACAGCAGCTTTATGTTCCCATTAACAGCTGCAGTGCTTGCTTTAGTCCTCCAAGTGTTACGTAAATTTAACACCATGTCCTGTGTATTAATTAAACACACAAAACAACATTAGAGGGATGTAATTGAGGTTGCCTGGCCAAGCACTCAGGAGTTTGTGAACGGACTGAGTAAAGATTGCTGTGTGAATGAGCGTGTCCAAGAGCTGTGCTTGGTGAGGGCCTGGGCGTCTGGATGGAACTGCTGAGTGGTGGGGGATTATTCATGCGCTGAATGGCAGCGTCCCCAGATTTGTTCCAGAGAGTGCACCAGGCTTCTCCCAGCTTCTCTCTGCTTGTAACCCAGAGGGTCTGAAGAGCCCCCTGCCCTTCCCTGCCCTGCTGTGGGGGCGGGTGGGGCTGCTGGCTCAGCCCGTTGCTCTGGCTCCCCCGCAGGCACCTGCCGGCGTACCTGGTGGCCGCCTTCCTCAAGCGGCTCTGCCGGCTGGCGCTGAGTGCGCCCCCCGAGGCTCTGCTCATGCTCATCCCCTTCGTCTGCAACCTCTTCCGGAGGCACCCTGCCTGCAGGGTGCTGCTGCACAGGCCTCACGGCCCCCAGGGTAAGAGGGGGGTGGGCAGCGGGGCTGGGGTGCACCTTGAGGCAACATAAAGAGCAGGAGTCCTGTGAAGGAGGAGTGGAGATCCCAGTCCCAAGGTTTGGAAGGATCCTTCTGTCCCCTGAGTTTTTGGAAAGCCAGCAGCCTGCTCCTGCACAGTTTTTTGGCTGTGAAGACCTGTCTGCATTGCTCCTCTCTGACCTTGGGCCTCATCGTTGACTCCCCTGCCCCTGTGTTTGCCTGGGTGAAGGTTTCTTTGAGCTTGGCACACTGACCCAGGCAGCTTCTGAGTGCTAAAGGACTGGGGGAGCTGGATCAGACCCTGAGCTTGTCTTGTTCACCCTGAGACTATAAAGAAAAAAACAAATTTGGAAACCAGAGACCTCCTCACTCCCTGTCAGTAGAATATTTATGTAGGTGGCCCCACCTACAGCAGTCTCCTGAATTTTTTCATCTGATTTAACTGGTCAGTGTTGAACATCAGTAGTGACCATTCAGAGTTGCCTGAGAGGCCCTTTTGCATCACACAATTCCAGTTTTGTGCCCTGCTTCCTGTGCTCTTTCAAAGTGATATGATACTGTGCTGCTATGGTTCTATGATTCTTGGGTCATGCTGAGATCTGTCAGCTTGCTCCGGGACCATAAATGTCTTGGGAAGGAGGAACTCTGGCTGCAGCACTGCTCTGAGCCTCCGTGTTCCCTTTGGGGCTTCAGGCACCATGCAGGAGGTATTAGCTCTGTATCTCTATCTCCTTAGATATGGCAGAAGATCCATATATTATGGAGGAGGAAGAGCCATCTGAAAGCAGGGCTTTGCAGAGCTCTCTCTGGGAGATTCAGGTATGTCAGCAAAAGATGAACATCTGCATCTGCTGTGGGTTCCTCCCACCCTTGCCACTTCCTTGACACATGTTGGCAGTGAGCAGTCCCACTTACAGGGACCTGCTGACATACGTCTTGCAAATGAGATGAGTTTCTGGCTGATCTTTTACTCTCCATCCTTTTCTATCCCAGCATAAGAGGCAAAGGATTTCATACACTGGAGAAGTCGTATGTGCTAATTATTAGGTGACTTGTGAGCACCCATCTTAACTGTGCAGCTCAAAAGTGTGCAGTTAACAGCTGAAACAGACTGAATGGCTGCAAATATATGAGGTGCTTTATTTGCTTTGGAGGGGAGAGAGGAACTTGCTGAGCACTGATGGAAATTAATTGGGTACAGCCAGGTCATCCTGTAGAAATGGGTTTAAAAATGCTAGAGAAGATTGTAATGTTCACCTTTCACCTGGATCGTTTGCAGGATGGTGTGTGAAGGCTGAAGTTGGTTAAATTACTCCTGATGTTCTAAAACCTTTAATGCCAGGATTGTCGCTTTCCATTTAAATGCGAGAAGGGTTTTGTGTAAAGGGCTGAAGCAGCAGGAAGGGTGTTGGGCAGGAGCAGGAAGGCTGGAGGGCAGGAGCTCATGCAGCATCAGGGCTCTGGGAGGCGGCAGAACTAGGAGCTCATGCAGCATCAGGGCTCTGGGAGGTGGCAGAACGGGGTCATGCATTGTAGGCATAGCCTGTGGAAGAGTTTATCTGTCTGGAGCTGGATGTGAAGCAGCTGAGAGGGGCCTTCAGTGTGCTTGAAAAATGGCTGAAATCAGGATTTCTTGAAGCTCTGTCGTAGCACAGTACAGCCAGCTTGTCTCTGCTAGAATCTGATGTCCACTGAAGATCTGACCAAGCAAGGGACAGAGGGATGTGTGTTGCCATGTACTTACTAGGCCATCTGCTGTTTGCCTTCTTTTTGCAGTCTCTACAAAGCCATTATCACCCAGATGTGGCCAAGGCAGCTGCTGTCCTGAACCAGGAACTGTCTGAAATGGAGGATGACATATCAGGGCTCCTGGAGCTCTCGGCTTATGAGGTAGTGTTGCTGTGCCTTTGTGAGTGATTGGAACCACTGGAAAGGAGACTGGCTGCTGGGTGCAGTCACCATGTCCTGTTCTTTAACCTTGCTGCTGGGGAGGGAGCTGGACTGACTTGGTTACCCAGAACCAGGGAAAACCAGGAAAATCTGTCACATAATGGAGAATGAGGCAGCAGTGGTGCCAGGACTGGCTTTATGTGAAAGGTTTATTTGCTGGATCTTCTAGGAGGTTAGGGTGACCAGTGGTATCAGCCAGGGTGAAGAGCTTGTACTGAGTTTTGCTGATATCTGCTCTATTTTTTTTCTTTGTAGCTTTTTGATAAAGAAATAAAGAAGAAAGCTGTTGATGTGCCCCTGGAGTTTGAGCAAGTTCGAGGTCTGTTCGGGAAGAAGAATGATATTTTTGCAGAGCACTTCACTTTAGATTGATGTGATCTCTGTGTTACAAACACACCTGCACAACTGACTGGACTCAGGGACACGCAGAGCTCGTGTGTTGTGCCTGGCAGTCCTGCCTTCAAAGCATCTCCATCTGATGAGACCTGGACTGCTTGAGGAAGGGGCAGCCTTCCTCACCACCCTTTGCCACTGCCCGTGGATGGACTTCCCGTTGTTTCTCATGCTTACATACTGCCACCTGATATCCTGGGGGGGATTTTCCCTCAGAGGAAGGCTGTATGGACCTGCTCATTGCTGAGGTTCCAGCCCTTTTCTCCAGAGCTGCTGGTGCTGGCTGTGGTTGGTGACTGCACTGACAGACCATGTGCTGCCGTTTGGTGGGGCTGGGCACCTGCAGTCTCCAGCTGCTGCTCTTGTTCTTCACATGTGCTACTTTTGTACTAGAGCTGACAACCTGTTTTGTAGGAAGTGACTTCAATACATAGCTGTAAACACCTGATGATATTCTGATTATATTTATTTATGTGTATGCTTTTAAACTCATTTCTTGAGAAGGATGTTTAAGCTTCCTATGTACTTATCTTAACATTTGAGGCACTGAAAGCTCTGATTTGTCAAAACCAACTCACAGATGATGCTCAGTAATTCCATCTCTGAAGTGCTGCTGATGTTCCTTCCTGTACATCCACCTCGTGTCGTAAGGTTGCTTAATTCAAAGTGCTCATGAGCTTTGGAAATCAGCATAATCCTGGTGATTGCTGTAGCTATGGAGGCCAACTGAGGGGTCTAATCCTTCAGTTTTGCTTCAGGACAGTAAGCAGCGTGAGGTGGGTTTGCATGCAGCCTGCAAGTGTTGCAGCAACTCTGGTCAGGGTGTATCCAGGTGCTAATGAAGTTTTAACTAGTCCACTGGTATTAGATGATTTTGTTAATTGGGATTTTTCATCTTGTTGCAGAAATTCCTTTTGTTAGTGTTTTGGGGTTTTTTTTGGGGGGGGGTCAGTTGTTTGGTTTCCCCAAGGTTTTAAATTTGAGATAAACTGCTTATAAAGAATGCAGATAAACTCAGGACTGTTTTTTCCTTAATCATTTTCAACAACTTAATGTTAGCTCATTAGACTTTTAACTCTGCATATTTCTAAATCATGTTTTGTGGAGGAGAAAATATAGTCAAAGTGGAAGCCAAAAAATCTAATTTCTGGCAGACAAGCCTAAGTCAAGAGAAACTGCAGCTGTTGTGGAGACACTGTTATGTTTTCTTCACTTTTCTTCATGCTTTCCAAACAGTGGATGTGTTGTCAGAGTACAGAGATCTCTCTCTCTTATTTTATTTGCTTCTTTTTTTCTTTTCCCTGGTGCTTTTGAGTTCAGGTGGAGTGTCTTTCAGGAGTCCACTTTATTTTTTCTTAAAAAGAAGTCTCACTCTTTGTTATGCTCTGATGAAAATCAACCCTGTCTCCTCCCTGGCCAGCTGGCTGTTCTTTTTTCTTTACCTTCTTGTATCTGTGGTAGGAAGGCAGAATGGCTGAAATAATAACTTAAAACTTGAGAGACTTCAGCTCAGGTTCACCCAGGCCTTGTATTTCAGCTCTGAAATGTGTCTCCTTGTATCATATGTGTGTGTTTGGTAAGTGCTCTGATGCTGTAGTAATGAGGACCACATAAGTACCTTTGAAAGAAGGTAAGTGTATCATCTTTCAGATGAAATTAATTAATAGCTACATTGAATATCTCTGCATCATTTTGGTTAACTGGGGTTGGCCCAGTTGCTACTGAAGTTACTGATGGGCACCATCATTCATGTCTTTGGTAACACTGAGGCTCAGGAGTGTTAGGATTCCTTTCTAAGGCACAAGTATGACACTATCTGGGCATGGGGCAACCCTGGGTCTCGTGATGCTGAAAATGAGGGAGTTTGGCTGGGTTTGTGGATGTGGCTGGAGGGTTAGCAGAGTTCCTGCCAACAAGGGCTGCCTAGGCTGTGGCTCTGAGTCCTGGCACCAAACAAGGATACCCAACATGTCAGGCATGAAGGTGGTGGGGAGCAGTGGAAGGAAGCAGCTTCTGCCGTGCCCTGCTGCTGCCTCCTGGGCAGAGCCTCGCACCTCTGAGACCACACGAGCACAGGCTGAGTCCTGTGGTGACTCCTGGCAGTGCCAGGCACAGCCCCACGGTGCTGGGTGCAGGCCAGAGGAACAGCAGGCAGCTCAGGGGAGCTGGCAGCTGGCAGCCTGGCTGAGCTTTGGACAAGCCTTCAAGGTCTTCCAGAGACTTCATCCCCCATCTCCGGTGCTGCGCTCGCCTAGGCAGCTCCTGAACCAGCTCTTGGGTGGAGATAGATAGCTTTAAGCCCCTGCCTGTCCTTGGGAAAACATTCCACCTGGTCTTTCATCGAGCTCTTATCTTTAAACTTTCACCACCCTCCCCTCCATAGGAGGCATCAAGAAAAAAAATCAGCAGTTATAAATATTAAAAGTTCCATCTGCAGTGAGTGAACAACCCTTATCAGGCCGCACAGCCGCCGCCGCCGCTGCTCGACAGGTCTCCACAGACTGCAGATTAGAGACGCTGTAATCAGGGTGGGTATTAACTGCAAGGCCAGATTGAAGTACCAGGCTGGGAGTGCATAAGTCACTCCTGTTATTATTTGATTTTTATCAGATGTGGGGAGCGGGAGAGGGCTGTGCTGGGGGTGGTGGTTGGGCTATTGCAGTGAGTGTAAAACGTAGTTCTGTGAGAACATGAGAGTCCCCCTGCCTGCCCACCCATCACTGCCCCATTCCCCCACCACAGGGTAGTGATAAGGTCTCTGGGTTTCAGTGGACTGCCCGTGGTGTATTTTCCTGAGCTTTTATTCATTTAAAGGCCATTCAGAGTCATCCCTGCCTGAAGGTACCAGATAGAGCTGCTGCTCAAGAGCACGATGGGGTTTATCTTGTGAGTCCAAGGACCAGGTGACCAGTGACTGAGATTCCTACTTTTAAGATATTAATTGGGGGATGGAGGGAGGTGTACCTTTACATCCAGAAACAGATGGAGAATTGCAAATGTCAGCCAAGGCCTGGGGCAGGCTTGCCCCAAGAGAAGGGAGCTCTGCTCTGGGACAGTTGGTGCCTGTCCTCTTCTAGCACAGTGTGACGCTGGGGTGCTTGGTTGCAGGCTGGCAGTGGTCCTCCAAGCAATTAAACTTGTGTCTATAAAGTAACTCGCTTTTCACACCATATGTTCAGCTATCTCAAGGGGGTTTTAGGAACTGCCTAACACAGCCCCTGCCTGTCACCTGAACCACCTGGGAGGCCAGCTCTGCTCCTCTGGATTCCGTGTGAGCTCTTCTCAGCATGTGGGAGCTGGACCCTGACTGAGCTGGTAAATCCTGCCTTGGCTCCAAAGGGGCCAGATCCATGGGCAACCAAGTGCTTGAAATAACACTAACAAATGCTCAGCCCTGCTGCCCAGCTGCTGTTGGCATTGAAGTGATTTCTCAGCCCCGAGATAGGGAAAGCTGCAGGCCAGCCATAACCCCTGTGTTTTCCACTGCCTAGTTTTGAAAAACAAATGAGCTCTTGTGTAATTCATAGCCCTGCTCAGGCAAAGGGACCTGCAGGATCTTGATTCGACTGACACCAGCCTTCTCCAGCACTATCATAATCAATATTCATTAGCTGAAGTCTATTGGACTTGGAGATTTACTGCTATTAATAAGCCAAGAGTCTATCTTGGTGTAGCTTATAAAGAAAATTTTAGGTCTGTTAATAAAAAGAATTGCTTTTCTGCAGTTCCTTAGCCCTGTCTCTGGGCCATGCTTGCATCTCTAGAAAGAGACCTAGAGCATGTGAGTGGCACTAAAAAAGACAAAAACAGAGGGGAAAGATCTCTTCAGAGGAAGGCACCTGCGGCTGGGTCGGTGCATGGTCAGGTTCAGAAAGGGCTCTCTTGGTCTTCTGTAGTATTCTAACCTTGAGCTGTTTGGGAACATCACCCACTTGGCAGCAAGCCTGAGCTCTGGCTGCTTTGCCTGGGTACCTGGAGCAGTACCAGCCAGGCAGAAGCACCCCACTGGGACCCAGGGAGCTCCCGCTGTGCTTTCCAGCTGGGGGATGTCTGCCAGCAGGGACCACTCGTTCCTCATGGGCTGTGGTGCCAGCCTTCCCCAGGAACAAACCCTGGCAGCCAGGATGCTCTGGCTGATGGTGCACGCACAAAGGATGCGAGTGTCAACTCCATCCTAGCAGAGTCAAAACCTGCAGACCCCGTGGCCTGCTGCTATCTCCATGTTGATAAGCAAACACAGCAAACCTTATCAAAGCGAGCAGGCTGCAGCCCTGCTGACATAGCTCTGCCTGACTGAAGAGAACTGATGCTTTAATAAAGCTCTGCAGGCTGGGACTGGAGTGCTTGTGTGAGGAGAAGCATCACTCAAAGGTGGCTGCAGTTAACTTTTATCAAATATTTAGGTGGGTGGCAAGGTGCATTCTTGTGGTGCTCTTGCGGAAAGAGGGTTGGGCTCTGAGATGGGAAGTGGAGGAATCATCACAGCCCTTTTGCCTACAGCAGTTTCCTGCAGATTGGGAGAGTGAGGATTTACATTTTAGTTACTTCAACTAGAGATGGGAGATACCATGTGCTGTGGTATTGGAAACAGAGCCTTGATGGCCAAGAACTGTAGCTCCTGAGTGGGAGGTCTTCAGTCTCATCTGCTGGTGAAGAGATGGGTCTCACCGCTCGGTGTGCTGCTCTGCCCAGCTAAGGTCACAACCTGGTCTAGTGGGAGGTGTCCCTGCCCATGGCAGGGGGTTGGAACAAGGTGATTTTCAAGGTCCCTTCCAACCCAAATCATTCTGTGGTTCTGTGTGGTCAGGTCAGCAGGTCACAAAGACCAGAGCATCTCGCTCGGGACCGGTCCCAGGACCTGCGTTCCCATCACAGTGGCTCTTACCATCCAGTTCCACCAGCTCTGAGGGCCCCACTCCTGCCCTGGGGGGCTGGCAGCCTGCTGGGATGGAGCTCAGCCCTGGTGGGGGTGGAGGAAC